TCAGTGAGCGAACTGTATTTGTGCCCCTGTAGCTATATATAGATTCTAATTACCAGTCACTGTTTTTGAGATGGACAGCCATATAAATTGTTTATTGCAGGTTTTTACACATATAAGGGATTAACCCTGTAAAGCTAACTGAAGCGTATGTGTGTTATGATGTTTACACAGCCTTGAGAGAATAGAAATATCAGGTAAACTGAATTCTTCACTGCTGCCGCTTGAATACTGTTATATAGGATTCTAGAATTGCTTTATCATAAATGGACAGTATTTTCCTTGTTACAGGGTTTCTCTGGAATTACGTAACAGTTATATTTGCATTTCTGCACTGTGAAGATCAAGAGTTTTGCAACTGGTTATTAGTTCATTATGGAAGAAAAAAAACCTCTCCCTCCCTCCATCTCCTGTGTTGATTCCTGGTGACTGCTTGTACTAATCCCTGCAGTTTTGTTGGCATGACTTTTTAGAAATTGTTTTCCATTGCCTCCGTCCTAGGGCTGGGAGGAGACTAGCCCAAGGTCACCCATATATATGACTAGTGTTACATTCACTATTCAAGAAACAAATGTTAGCAATAGCTGTTTACTGTACAGTAAAATATTATCCCTTCATCCATTCTTACTTTGTAAATGCTTTCTACAAGCTTTATACATTCATCCATTTTCTATTACAAGTACATATCTAATGGGAGGATGAGAATATTGCATTTGTTAACTAAGAGGTCAGAATTGTGAAGATGGCATTTATTTTGCAAATTTCATTGCACCAAAGAACGTTATTTGTTTCTGTCTACCACTATTATATAACCTCAAAAGGCCATATTTATTGAACAACTTGATTTTTCAATGGCAGAAAGAAAAATACTGTGAATGCAATTAGCTTCAAGCTACATTGATGAGTGAAAAAAATATGCTTCATGGCATGACAAATTGTTCAGTTAATAACAATGCTTCCCAGAATATTCCAAAAGGCTTTACTAGGAAGATATACTTTTTAAAAAGTAACACTGTTTCAGAGTTGAAGGAGTCCAATGAAGTGGTTTCATGAAAAACAAATTCCACGAAGTAGAATTACTCATCTTCAGAAAACATTTCTAACAATAGAGCACAAATGGAAAACTGTAGTAGGTAATGAAATCTTCCAATCTATTGCTACATATTATATTACAGTTAAATTACAAGTATCTTATAGCAAATATGTATCAGGAGAGGAAAGCATAGCAGATCTGGAATAGACACTGCACAATTACTTCCGACTGTTACTATGGGGAGGGGGGGGAGTAGGAGGAGAACAAACAGAATAAAATCATTTTCTCCCTTCCTCCTTGCATCCAACTAGCAAGGGTATCAATTAAGTAATTTCTTTGCCCTTGGTTATCTATCCTAGTATTGGTATAGATGCTTCATTAAAATATCAAACATGAATTGTTTTAGTATTCTAGTATTCTATTCTATAATTCCATCAAATTATGTAACAAATACATATAATCACATGTCTTTTATTGGAAATATTTTCCTTTAGGTTGAAATCTTGCCAAGATTTGGTTCTTCTGTCCAATTAAAATCTTGCCAATAAGTTATCTTGTTTACATTTCAGGAACAAACATAAAAAAATATTCAAGTCACCTACTAAATTCCATTTCATATTATGGCTTCATAGTAGAATCCTTCAAGTGAATTCTGGCAAACATTTGAAAAATATTAGAACTGCAATTTATATTTTATTATAAAAACGAGCAAGTTGATTAGAGAGAAAAATAGTAGCATTCATCCAACATCTGTTATAGTTTTTAAACAATTCTTGACCATTTTTATTAAAACTAAGGAGCCTTTGAGATAGTTGAGATAGTGATCCTTTGATACAGCAGCAACATTTTTCTTGTTCAGACTTGGAAAGATGCTAGTCAGCCCATAGAGGAATGAAAGTGTTTCCACAAGGATAACGCTGCAACCAACAACTTACAATGATCTGCTTTAGTTTGAAGGCAGTTTGAAACATAGCCTTTTTAGAGATATGAACACACAAGTAGTTCTTCTGAGAAAAACCCTTATAAGTTAGCAAGTTCAAACCACTTTCAACCTTGAAAGTACAATGCCAGTACATTAGCTTGAACTACATGCGGAAACTAACTGTGGAACCAGTTAAGATGATTGAAAATGTGTGTTAAATGCTTCCAAAAAGTGATGTTGGCATATTCATTACTCAGCTTAACTGAAATGTGGAAGCAACTGAATAGCCAAGTTCAAACCCTCAACCTAGAATTCACAAAATATGCACAACAGAGATTTTAAAACAGATACACACACACACACACACAAGTCCATGGAGTTTAGAAAGTTAAATTTTAACAAAAAAACAGAAGCAAAACATGCAAGGGATCGCAACCTTACTAATTTTAGTAAGCTGATAAGCTGATAAGCAATTACATTGGAAGAGTTGATTAAAAATGTTTCCCATTTCAAAGTCATCTAACTTGATCACCACTGTACCCATGTATGTTATTAGCAAACACAAGCATGTTTTTGGAGAAAATATGAAGAATCCAATTTGTAGTATCTTTTATAACTTGGCATTCTTAGTTACTCTTAACTAAGCATAAGTTACCAATAGAAGAGAATCAGTTAGCATATGTTACTCTTAACAATTCGCATAAGTTATCAATAGAACAGAATAAGTAAGCATAGGTTAGTTTGGCAGCAGCAGATGCTATTAATAATGCACATTGCAATGCACAGGTAACAGGTTTGTAATGCGGGTTACTCAGTAGTTGTACTAGCCTTATATATAACACTGAATATTTCACTTTAGGTCCACCACAGTTATACAATTGAAGCTGTGCAAATAATGCAGCTGGGTATACATTCACCTTTCTTTTGGGGATCAAAGGGACAAGAGTTTGAATAACTCCCAGAGGTACACCGAGGCATTTTAATTCATCAGCGTTTCGCTGCCTTCAACGAAATGCATCAGACTCGCACAGCCAAGCTCCCCACTTCCCACTCTCCCCCCTCCTTACCGTAAACCAGCTTTTTCATCTCGTGGTATCTGGCCCAGAGATAGGGCTTCGTATCGATCCCTTCGATGGAGCTGGGCTGGTGGCTGCCTAAGGAAGCAGCTGTCACAGCAGGGCCGGCGTCGGCGGTCCTCTTCGCTTTGCCGCCCATCGCAGAGGAGCCCCACGCCGGGAGACAATGCTCCTCTGACTGCGGCTGATGGGTCCACTGGTGCCTGCATCCCACCCGCCCCGATCCAACGTCGGAGCCCGTATAATAGCAGCAGCAGTTGCTGCTGCTGCTGTGGCTGGAAACAGGGGCCATCCGTTGAAGGATGCCGACGCTCTTCCACACGCCGCTGCTCCTAGCCTTGAGTCCAGCCGCCGCCATGGCCTCTACGGGGAGGAGAGCCTCTTCCCTGAGTTGAGTTCACAAGGCCGTCACCTCAGAGCCCCCAACCCCAATCTTCCTCAACTGCATCGTCCGCCAGTCCGGACAACAACAACGGACTCCTTCAGCCATCCGACCCGCCTGAGAGCAAGCAGTCAATAAGAGAAGGCTCCAGCAGGGCTCCAGCCCAAGACTTGTTGAGGAGGCGGAGGCTCTTCTAAGCACAAGTGCCGGCGCCGCTTCGGGATTTGTAGTTTGTTCAATGTTTTGTGTTGCCCTCTCCCTCAACCAGCTCCTGTGAGGTTTCTCCCCCCACGCCCCCATTCTTGGGACACAGACAAGAACTACGACTCCCAAGATCCTTTTGGTCCTCCTTGCTCGAGGGTATTTAAAATGTTTACGGCGGGCGTGTTTTTCTTTCAGAAACTGTGATTCCGAGGAGTCCCAAAACTTGGCAACTTGAAGACTTGTGGACTTCAACTTCAGTTAAAGTCCACAAGTCTTCAAGTTGCCAAGTTTGGACACTTCTGCTTTAAACCGTTGGCTATTCGGATAAGTCGAATAAAAGTAAGTTTTCAAGACAAACCTTTTTTTTTTAAAAGGACCTGTTTTCCCTTATAAGAATGCTCGGTGAATAGAATAGAATAGAATAGAATAGAATAGAATAGAATAGAATAGAATAGAATACTTTTATTGGCCAAGCGTGATTGGACACACAAGGAATTTGTCTTGATGCAAATACTCTCAGTATACATAAAAGAAAAGATACCTTTGCCAAAGAGTCAAGGGTACAACACTTAATGATAGTCATGGGGTACAATAAGCAATCAAATCATACTAGGAAACAGTCAATATAAATTGTTAGGATACAAGTGACAAAGTTACAGTCATACAGTCAGAAGTGGGAGGGGATTGGTGATAAGGAGTGATGACAAGATTTAACGGTAATACGGTAGTGGTGCAGAATATGACAAATGACAAATGGAGGAATAAAACTGGAACACGTACAGAAAGCCCCTATTCTCTTATTTCTCGATGGATAAAATGCATGCCAATTCAGACTGCCTGCTCCTGCGATCTTACAGACACCTGATTTAAAAACTGTACTTTGCTTGAGTTGCTCTTGCACAGAATGAGTTGCCCAATATTTTACAAAACATGTTGGGAGACAGATAAGAACAAGGGTCTTCCAACTTGACAGCTTTAAGATTTGTGGTCTTCAACTCCCAGAATTCCTGAGCTAACATGACTGGAGGAGGAATTCTGGGAGTTGAAGACTACAAGTCTTAAACTTGCCAAGTTTGAAGACCCTTGCCTTGGATAAGAGGCTGGATTCCTTGACTTCCGCTCCGACAGGAGGCGGTCAGAGGCTTCTAAACGTTTCGCCTGGCCGGTTTTTGCAACTGAACTGAGCAGCAAGTTACAGGGCTTCCTTCCCTGGGGCTTTAGGAACGCCATTAGCGCCCCAAAAGTTTGAGAATCTCAGCTGGCGTAGCAGCCACACTGCGCAGAAAACCCTTACGCTCATTCCGTTCAAACACGGGCGGGCCACGCCTCCTACGCACAACACGTAACCAATCGCATCTTTCGGAAGACGCTGGTGCGTAGCGGTCAGACGGGGGTGGGGGTTGCTCTTCCCGTTGTGCTCTTGTGTCCTGCGCGTCCTACTTTCCCCCTTACACAGTCCTAAAAGGTGACGGCTTGGTAGTGTGGTTGTTGGTCTGCGCTAGAATCGAGACCAGCCTCTTTGATTGACTGTATCCCACAGAGTGGTTGGAGTGGAAAGCAGCATTTCCTTGCAAAGAGTGTGTTGTATGAGCACGGGTCCTTGATTATAGTCATATCCTCTTTATTATATCCTCTTTATTATTTTCACAAATAATTCAAGTCGGCGAACATATGCAACACCTCTTCCTCCTTCCATTTTTCTCACCACGACAACCCTGTGAGGTGAGTTGGGCTGAGAGTGAGTGACTGGCCCAAGGTCACCCAACTGTGGCTAAGGGGGAAATTTGAATTCATGGCCTCTTGCTTTCTAGCCTGGTGCCTTAACCACTAACTACGCCAAACTTGCAAGGTTTTCAGACCCTGGGAATTCTGATGGATCTCTGATGGATAACCTTTACGTAAAACTAGACATTAACTGGCTTTGGGTGCTTCCTTGGTATTGGTAACAGAATGGTATTGCTATTCACAACTGGATCCGTAAGAGGTGAAAGATTAACATAAACTCTGGGAATGATCTATTTTCCATCAGTAAAAGCAAAACATGTATGAGTACAGTATGAATGTTATTAATAGATACTTGGTCCTAAATCATGGTTTATCTAGAGATGGACTGGTAACGCAAACTGGGTATTTAGGATGTTTGCAAGATTAGTTGTTAGAGTTCTTTGCATTTCAAATTGTATATTACAGTAAGCTGAAATCAATGGTTACTGAAAACAACCATTGCAAAAGAGTTCTAGGTTTTAGCAAGTTGTTCGTCCTCATTAGGTGGTATTGAACAAGATAGAATGATCTTAAGTCAGTCTTTATATTCTTCATATATCTGATGATGTTGCTAAGTTGGGTAATGAAACACCTGCAAGAAAACAACTAAGCTCAGAGCACCGAAGGACTCCACATCCAATTCCAATTCCCCAAGAATGCTCAGCAAGGATTTTAGTAGTAGAGGTAAAAATGATAGAATTCATAATTGTCAATGTAAACTACTTAGAGTGCTATAAAGCAATATATAAGTCTTAGTGCTATTGCTATCTGTGCTTTAATGTTTTGGAATTAACTCACAATGAATTAAATAGATTTGTAATAGTAATATTATAGGTAATAATGCTGCATTTTTTAGTTTTGTATCTTTATGAGCCCAGGTTTAATCAAATGTGAAATATGCGAAGATAAAATAGAATTTTATTCCTTTCCATATTTTTATACATTTGGTTAACCATATTTTGGAGAGCCTTATATATAAAATATTAATTTTGTTCAATGTGTTTCAGAATCACCCTTAACTTCCTTACGACGAGCCTTAAATTCTTCTTAAAATGTCTGTCAGTAGTAAAATAACTCAACTAATTAATAAAGTACCTGGAAAGAAACGGTTTGGTATATACAGATTTCTTCCTTTCTACTTCATTCTCGGTGGTGCTATGGAATGGTTTATGATTAATGTTCCAATTGGCAACCAGACCTTTTGTAAGTATCATTAAACTTTTTAAAAAGTTCTAGATATTTAAACATACATGACTTAATTATGTTTTATTAATGTCTATATCTTTCCTAATAATTACACTGAAAAATTCAAATTTGTTCGATATTCAGCTTTTATTAAAAAAGGAAGAACTTAAGGTAAGCTTTCAATGGGTAAATGTACAGAGAAGAGCAACAAAGATGATTGGGGCACTGGAGGCTGAAGCATATAAAGAACTATTGCTGGAATTGGTTATGTCTACTTTAATGAAAAGAAGGACCAGGGGTGACATGATAGCAGTTTTCTAATATCTCAGGGGTTGCCACAAAGAAGAGGGAGTCAAGCTATTCTCCAAAGCGCCTGAGGGCAGGACAAGAAGCAATGGGTTGAAACTAATCAGAGAGAGATGCAACCTAGAACTAAGGAGAAATTTCCTGATAGTTATATCAGTGGAACAACTTACCTCCAGAAGTTGTGGGTGCTCAAACACTGGAGGTTTTTAAGAAAAAATTGGACAAACCATTAGTCTGAAATTTGCCCGAAATGTTATATGATTTCCTGCCTAAGCAGGGAGTTGGACTACTTCCAAGGTCCCTTCCCACTCTGTTATTCTGTTACTTTGCTTGGCATCAAAGCCCTCAAGTGTTCTTATAAGATGAGTAGCATGGAATTAACTTAAAATTTCAAAGTAAAGATTCAGTGTCATCTTAAAACCTATTGGCAGGCATACTGTTCCTGAGAAAACTACAAATTACCACACTGGAGAAACATGGTTTTACTTTTAGCTTAGGTGTTGATAAAATATTCAGATAATCTTCCAATTGTATTTTGGAAGATTAGGTGAAAAACTACTAAAATGACTGCAGATAGAGGTGTTAGCTTCAGACTGAGTATCTGACCATTTTACAAACCAGAAAACAAATTTCTAAAATCTTGCATTTTTTAGAAATGGACAAACTTAGTCCTAATTTTAAGTTTTTAAAGTTTGAAATTAATCTATCCCACTTTACTCAAATAAGAGAAGTAGATATTAGTTTTAAAAAAGTATGTCAGAATCAAAATGTAATTCCACCAGACTGATCCATTCATGATAGAATAAGGTTGCCCTTGGTAATTTCCTTGTTATATTTTTGATCTTGCATGAATTGCCCATCATTTTAAGCTTGAAACATTGCAAGTTAATTATGTTAAATGAAGTATTTTCAAAAAGTTCATAGAAATGATCACAAATGTTTTGCAGATGATGTTTACCGTAGAAAAGAGGCTGAGAAATATTACCAGAAATTGGAAGAAAAGTGAATTCAACACTGAACTGTCTGTACATAATGGATTCTAAACTAATAAATGAAACTAAGTTTCAAAGTTTGCTTAAAATACGAATACCGGCTGCATTTTGTTCAGAAAAAAATATTTTTGTTAATCTGTCTTGTTTCAAATAAAAAATAATTATGTGCTTTGGTGAACTCAAATGCCATCAAGTTGGTACTGTATTGATTTAAGTGACCACATAAATTATCTCTAAGTGTTATCTGTCCCTATCCTGATCCTTCAGGGCTTTCAGTGGTGCACTCTGCTGCTGTAATTGAAATATTCAGACCTTAAGGTAAAAATTTCCTGCCTAGTTATTTCCAACTCTAGAGGGCGGGACTCATCTCCGTTTCTTAGTCGAAGGAGCCAACATTGTGCAAAGATATTTCTGTGGTCATGTGGCCAGCATGATTACAACTCAGACCTACTCATATATTAAATAACCGTAAGACTGATTACCTGTTTCATTTTAGAAAATGATGTTTTAGAAATTGTTGCTTTGTGACCCATTTCATTATTGGTTTATCATTTTTTGTGTAAATATACACAATCACATGTTTATATATTATTAAAGTAAAAAGAATTATTTTACTTTGTTACTGGGCTGATATGATGTTGTGCAATGTTTGCAGTAGACCTCCCCCCCCTCTCTCATACCCCCCCCCAACCATTATAATAATATGTATACAATATAGATCCATGCTTCAGTTAATAAGTTCTGGTTGTTTATGGAAGATACACGTGTGGAGTTATCACACAGAAGACATTTGTGAATATGCTAGATAATGTAGATCTTATCAGGATTTATGTATTTTTCAAAGCCTTAAAATGATTTGATTTGGCTTAGCATGCTATTACCTAAACTATGGCCAAGCAAATCATGACTTACATAGTTGAACTTAGTATGTATGAATAAAAGGAATGATAAATAGCAGAACAGAGTTTATAATAACTAGTTAGAGGAACTTTCCACACTCTGGAGAAAAATATATACGGGGGAATCAGCAATGTCCTCCTGTAATTCAGGTTATTGAATTTTTCTGTAACATTGTTTTTATTAGTAAAAATTATACTATAGCTTGCTGAATGGAGAAAGACCCAAATTCTATTTGATAGCACAAACTTTAAAGATCTACTTTTCCATTTATATAATCAGATTGATCAGTGGCCTTAAGTTGTATGGTAGATTTCTACCATTCAGACAGAATGAATAAGGGTTTGATATGTGAAGTATTGCCGAACAGTATGGGAAGTTAATTTGGCCCTAGGAAATATAAAAAAACAAAGCTGCAGGAATTAACAGAGTTGCAGGAGGACTGGTTAAAAATATTTAAGTTGATGCAATTAGAGGGGCAGACATGGAAAAGAGTAGTAACCAGGGGACAAGAAGCTAGCTTTTTATATTGCAATATCAAAAGACCCTACAAACAAATGCTCAAATTGCTAATTGCACTTAACATAAAATGATTTATTAACTACTATAAAATTGGAGTCATCTATTCTATGCAAATTCATTTTTTCCAGCATGATATGCCTTCAATTTGGCCTTTTAGATCTCAGTAATTTTACATATTAGAAAATGCCCAAAACTCTGTAATCCAGGCTTCAATAATACATGGTATATAACTGCCAAGATATACAAGCCGAATTCAGAAAATAGAAACCTGAGGTAACAACATAAACATCAAATGGATAATAGAAAAATATCCAAAGACAGGCCATGAGAAATTGTAAAGAGCTCATGAAAAGATTGGTGTACCAGACTATCTCATTTGCCAGTGAAAAATTTGCATGACAAACAGGATGCGACAGAATGAAATGTGGAAGTAATAAATAGTTCAAATAGTGGAAAGGAATGTACCAAGGCTCTTTTCTATGTCTCCATACTGTATTTTAGTTTGTGTTCAGAATGTCAGGAGAAATGTTGGATTAAAATAAATAGAATTTGGAATTAAAATTGTTGGGAGAAACACTGAAAACCTCAGATAAATTGGCATTGCTTGATGGCTGAAGAAACCTTAAGGATTCTCAATAAAAGATGGGAGTGCAAAAACTAATCTGTTTGTTTAAAAAGAAAAGTAACCCACTGAGATGTCATCACACAATGCCCATATAATGCAAACAAATGCAATAGTAATAACAGACTTCACTTCCAAGGGTTAAAAAATGACAGGGACAGCAACTGTAATTATGAAATAGGTATCTGCAACTTTGAAAAAAAACTGACAACCTGGACAGAATGTTTGAAATAGAGGTATCATATGGACATGAGAATTTGCTTCGTATTTTTCATCTTAGCTGAGTCAGTTAAGTTAGATGGGTCGTTATTTAAGCAATATAAATGTATTGTAAAAGCTACGGTTTTTCTCAGGTGGAAAGTGTCTGATCAGAAAGGCTGGTTAAAAAAATCCTTTGAATTGTGATCTTGGAGAAAATAGTTGAGAATAAATGAATCTACTAATAATGAAGCTAACCAGTGTTATAGATGCTTAATGCAAATGCAAAGAATTATGGGAGAAGAACCTGGTGCTTAAAAAAACTGAAAGCAGCTGGAAAAAGGCTAATAGAAAACAAGTGGGGTATAAAATTCGTGGCCCGCGGGCAAGATGGGTCATGTGCTGATCCTGCCCCTGCCAAACTTAGCGAAGGGGAAAAAAGTCCCAATACATCATGTGAAGCCGCAAGTTTGACACCCCTGGTCTAGATAACTTAACAAGCATGAGCTTACTAGAATTTAACAAAGCAGTAACACATAATCCTGTTCAAACTACATCTATCTGCTTATGAAAAGTTGGAAGCAGGGAACTTAACTATTCATTTTATTCTTAATGGACAAATTATTCTCTTTAGTTATTAAGAACTTTGTTTGAAATTAAACATATAGAAAATTGATACTAATTACACCTGTCATCATATATACATCAGTGACAGTCCTTTATTATAAAGAACCATCTTTATTTCAGAAAGCTGTCCTTTATTTTATTGGTTTTGATCTTGAATTTTATTTTGCAAAGCAAAGTTTTAAACATGTTTTTATCATTATGCACCTCTTCCAATTTTGCACTTTATTTTTTCTAAGAAAATATGGTCACTGTATATACACAATATATAGCAAAAGAGAAAAAGCTACACTTAATTTCAAAGGAGAAAATGTAAAAATGTACTGTGTGACCATCTGCTACATTTATAAATCCATTATCTATGACAGGGGTGTCCAACTCACGTCACAGCAGGGTCACATGATGTATCGGGACTCCCCCCCACCCTTCGCTAAACCAAGCATGGGCATGGCCAGGACGTGAAGCATCCGGCCAGTGGGCCGGAAGTTTGATAGCCCTAATCTATGATCAAAGGAAAAGTATTGCTGAGTTTTAAATCTAAAAATACTGAGCAGAAATTAATTTAAATGTATAACATAAGCAGAGCTATATTGCAAGTTCTGTTATTTTATCAAATGTGAGCAATTGCAATAAATCATTGTATATGGTGAAATTCAGCGGCGACAAGTTTTGCACTTCCATTCTAATGTTTCCTGTAACACATGAGAAAATGGATCCTTTTGTTCAATTTTTTTTGACTAGCCCAGATATGATTAAAGTTGTTTAAAACACACCAACTTCTATCATGGACTTTAAAACCTGGAAGATGACTTATTTTCCTAGCTCATAAAATTAAGGTTACTTATGTGTTGCTATTTTGATACCATTAATAAACAAGTCCTGTAAGAGATATACAGAATTGGATATACCTTTATAGTATAGGGTCAGTTCACACATTGTAGTAAATCGAGATTGTATTAATATGTTTAATGAACAACCAAGTACTATAGTCTGCTCATAATGCTAAGCCATCATTCACACTGAGAGGTTTCACACATCATAAGGCTTGGTTTTGACCTAATATGATGCATGAAGCCAGCTGTTGTGATTTAACTGTGAAAAAAACAAGTGGTGGCTTAGCATGCATGTGGACTTAGCTTTTCAATTTTGTATTCTTCTAAAGGTCACTGGTTATGTTTCTTTTTCAAAAGGTTTTTGAATGTAGGATGTGCATATTTTTCTCTAGGTCTTAAAACTTGTTCTGTGTATCTAATGTAACAACCAGTATGTACATCTTGCATGTCATAGTGATTTTTTTACAAAACATGGTTAGAATTATAGTAAAATTATTTAGAACTAAAAAGTGAGACATCTTAATGGAACAATCAAACCTGGTTAATCCAAATTATAAACTATTTTTATTTAAATTAAAAAGCCTCAAAAAAGACAAACTGATAGTACATGCACATGGACTAATGATCACTTTACTCATTGGAGTATACAGCCAGATGTAAAAATGAGGCATGGATTAACCAGGTCCAAAAGCATATAGGCTGGAAAAAAGTTATACGCATTGACTTGAATTAATATACAGATTTGCTCTTTTAAAAAAGTAAGGAATAAAGAACAGGCAATAAACTACTAATCACTTTTCAAACTGAAATAGATGTATTTTTTCCATTCAAGCCAACCATTTCCCATACTTTTATTTTAATAACCAAAGTCCTTTTATTCTAATACAGTGCATGGCTGTGGAAGATAACAAAAAATGGATTTAAATGGCCACAAATAAAACATGGTCTGATTTCCTGTTCAACAGATTATAATTAAAAAATAGTTAAGTCTGCTAATTGTGCAATACTGGATTATAATCATCAAATCTTAAATCCTATACGTTACTGAAATGCCCCAGTACACATGATATTGGAATAAATTAAATTTAAAATAATTAGGGCCAGCCTAATAGTTTAAGAGGAGTGCTCTGCACTTCCAAAGAAAAGGCCTCATTTACAGTTCTAATTGTTTATTCCTAAGCTGTTAGGAGTGGTGGAGCTGCCCCTTAGGTAAGGTCTCTGGAAAGACAATGCTATAAATTATTCAGCAGTGATCCTCTTGCATTACACAGCATCCAAAGGGCGTCTCATCCAAAGGGGTCCCATCTTAAAATGTTTTTAAAAATAATAAATAAAAATAAATAATTCCAAGTTCTTTGGTGTAGTTTTAGCAATTCTTAACAAAAGTGATTGTATTAGTAAATGTCCATGGCAATTCTAAAGTACTTAAGAATTAGGATGTGCTGCTTGCTTCCTTTAACTTTGTTGTTAAAAATACCATTATCTGAGGTAATGTCAAACAAACTGGCCACAATCCATAAGAGCATGCATGCATTTATTTTAGCAGCTCCCAACATTGCAACTGCTTCCATGTTGAAAATTACTATAAGGTCAACTAAGAAAACCCCAGGAGGGAAAAATAAACTTGGGAGATAGCAGCATATATATGTTTCTCTGAGGTTTGTAAATATTTTAAACAATAGAAACTTAGGTTGTTTGTACCAAAGATTATAGAATATTAAAGATATAAACTATTTCTCCTGTAATGTCAATTAAATTACATTTTATATTAGTACCTAATTTGATAACCATCTCTTTAAGTGTTTCATTAGATTTGTCAAAAGCTACATCCTAGAACTTGGGTGTCAAACTCATGGCCCATGGGCCAGGTGCGTCAAGTGCTGGCCCTGA